ATCAGGAGGCGCTACTTCACGGTCAGGGCGGCTAGGATCTGGAACCAAATTCCAAGAGAAGTGGTGCAGGCTCCTACCCTGGGGGTTAAGGGGAGGTTAGATGAACACCTTGCTGGGGTCATTTGACCCCAATACTCTTTCGTGCCATGGCAGGGGGTCGGACTAGATGATCTGCTCAGGTCCCTTCCGACCCTAGAAACTATGAAACTAGGAAACTATGTTGTAGAGATGCTGTTTTAGAAAGAACAAATGAAGTTCTTACAGCTTCAGCAGTAAAAATGCAAATAACTGCCTTCACTTCAGTGAAGCTTCTTCAAGTTTTCTTTAGGGTTGTGATTAATTCTAGTAAGCATAAGGGAATTATCTTAATTCTTGTAATAAAACAAGCCATTCTCAGATACAGTTGCAGAACCAGAAAAAATACTGGACTTGTATGTAATGTGGTGCCCATTACATGTTTACATTTTTTCTGTCCTTCCATGTGCTTTCTCTAACTAAAACTTTTATTTTAAATAATCAAATCTCTATATTGTTTGTGTTTAGGATCTTTAGAGGTTGTGTTTATCAGAATGTGTCGTGCCTTTGACTCCCAGAACAACACAGTATATTTTGATGGCAAGTATGCTAGCCCAGATGTTTTCAAATCATTAGGTAAGAAAATCTCAAGTATTCCATAATAAAAACAAATAGAACAGAGGGTAGAAACTGAAACACAGCCATTTATGGGGAAATGTCCTAAATGCTTTTCACAGGACAAGGAAAGGTTTAAAGTACTAAAAAGCTAAGCAGTCTTAGATTGCTCACTTTGACATAGCATGGATCCTCTTAAATTTTCTGGTTAAATTTGAGGCCCAGTTCAATTGCAGTGCCCACTGAACTTTAACAGAATATGGAAAAAAGCCTCACACATTCATAGTAGGCACTCGGGTACTAATCTGGGCGTATGTGTTTAGGCACCCAAGTTTGATAAGAAAAGTAATCTCATACATTATAAATACATGGAAAAATAGGTTCTGAGATTAAATTGGATACTACAGTCTTGTTCTTTTTATACAAAGGTGAACATGATTAGGAAATTAATCTAGACTAGTATGTAATGGAAATAGATCACTTGAGTAAGAAATTTTTTTTTTAAATGACTCAATAATTTAATTTGACTTGTTTGCATATATTTATCAGTTTACTATTAGGAGGCAGTAGGTTTGGCTGCAGGGTCTAAATTGAGTGGGATAAAATTGAGGATGAAGGTTAGTGTGGCAGCAGAAGATTTGTTTTAAAAGTATCTTATATATTTTCTAAATGCCCCCCGGTTGTAAAATCTGGACAGTTCAGAGCTTACTGTTGTATCTGGGCTAAGGGGACAGGGTAGGGGTACAGTGAAGAAGTAGCATCTTTTCCTTTTGCACCTCCCAGAGTTATGTCCATTTTGAGGGTAAAAAGCAGGACTGTTGCCCTATATTATGCCTCTTCTGGTTTTCACCCTCAGTGCCAAAGCAAAAGGGTACCAACAGATGCTGCCCAGCCAGAGCATGAGCAGGAGCAGCTCATTGGGGGGGGGAGGCAGGGACAGAGGGTGGGTGGTTTCTGCCTCTGCGTGACTCCCAGGCAGGCATAGGGGAGCGTGTGCCCCCTGGATCTGTGCACAAGGCAAGAGTGGGGTGCAGCTGCAGGCTTTGCCCCAGACACCAAACTTTGTTGCTATAGCACTGCACCCATACTTCCTGTATTCCTGTTATACCACACTTCTCCCTGGTTTCCCACCTCTTTTTTTTTATTTCTGCCCCTCACTTTTCTGTGCTGATCTGCTGACTTCACAAGGACGTCATTTTATGTTTCTAAATGTACAGAGTACAGTTTTCAACACTGTCCTGAAACCGTGAAAAAAATTGTCTTCAGCAAGAACAACAGAATTAAATCAATTTGGAGTTTCTGCATAGTCATTTGGGTACCAGGTTGGCACAAACATGTTAGACACTTTGGGAAATGTAGCTTCAGCTTAGTTCTTTAAAATTATTCTAACTTATTAAATGGTTTGCTTTTACTAGACTTCCAAAAAAAAATCATTACACTGGGATAAGATTCACCATGCAAAATGTCAGGGTGTTGGGGACTGGGAGAAGTGAAAGGTGGAGATATGGGAAAATGAAGTGCTAGTTTCCCTTCAGTTATTATACTGTTTCCATCATCCCAACCCTTTAAGGAGCTCTGATCCTTGTAGATATTTCTAATCCATTTGCTTTCTTCAAAGCAACTTTGAAGCAACTTAACAGAAACTGTTTTAACAAAAATCCTGAGTGATCTGTATCTTCTTCTTGGCAGGTTGTGAAGACTTCATTAGTTTTGTGTTTGAATTTGGAAAGAGTTTATGTTCTATGCACCTGACAGAAGATGAAATAGCTTTGTTTTCTGCATTTGTTTTAATGTCTGCAGGTAAGATTGCTCTAACTTTTTGATGGACTTTAGTGGTATTTTATTGTGAAATATTCCTCAGTGATAACTTGGGAGACAACCAATCAGTATGAAATATAACCAGCTGTCTCTGTGCCCCTTTCCTAACCATATCCTCTTTCTGGTTTTACTTTTAACAAGTGCGTTTAAACAGTGGGTATGAAGGTTGTTTTACTTGACTGGTAGTAGATTCTAAATTATGCCCTGGTTTTTGTCTGTCACTGCCTTCCCTGTGGGTAATAACGTTGAGGAATAAAGTATTCCTGTGCCTGGCACAGTCTGGGCATAATTTTATGTCAGTAGAAGACACAATTCTCCTGCCATTTAGCAGATCAAAAGTATGTAGCATTATGTTCCTTCAGTTAAAGAAACACAAAACTGTTTGCTCCTGCCACCCTGAGGCGGTAGGAGGTAATGCTACTGAACCACCATGAGGAGCACAAGTACAATTTCTTCTTAACAAGCTTATCTTCTTATAACTCGGGGGTTGGCAACATTTTTGGCCAGGGTGCAAAAACACCCACAACTTTGACTTGTAAGATGTTGGCTTGCCAGGGGCAGACGGCAGGGCAGCCACAAGGGGCCTGATCCTTGCTGTGGCAATGCAGCCCTGGCCCCTTCACAGCTGTCCGCCTCAAGGTGCACATGCCATGCAGAATGGCTTTGCATGCCACACTCTGGATAGACTGGGTTGCCTACCTCTGTTATCATTGCTCCTATCTTTTTCTGTATGTTGAACAGAAAATCTTGCACCAAAGATGCATTCTGATTAGTCAATCATTATTATACCATTAATTTTTTTTCCAGAACAGAACTATTGCTAATTTTATTTTTCCTCTAATACAGAATTGTATTAGTATGTAAAATATTAACACATACCATCCAACTTTAAATGCTCGAGTTGAAGACTTCTAAAAACATTTAAACTATTGTTCTATTTAACCTTATTGCAAAGATTCACAGAAGTTTAGGGCTAGAAACAACCTCGTGAGACCATCAGGTTCAGCCCCTCTGATCTGGGAAGGAAAGACTGCTGGGGTCAAATAACCCCAGCAAGGTGTACATCCAGTCTCCTTTTACTTACTACATGCTATAAGATTAGAGGATTAGATTTTATATGTGAGTAATACATTCATTCTAAACTTCTTAATTGTGAGACTGGCTTCCTGAATTGTTCTTCATGGAAGAATGGATGGTAGGGAGGTTGGATTGAATACAGGAAAGATAAATCTGTAAGACAGATTCTGACACTAAGTACAGACGTTCAAAAAGCCGGAATTGTTTCAATCTTTCAAGGTTAGTCTAACCTTCATAGATTGAACCAGTTTGCAAGTGAATAAACATTCACTTTTGATTTGGAAAGTGCAGCCACATGCTTGCAGCAGCTCAGCACAGAAGTTGGGAGGTGCTAGAGTGAGCCCTCCCTTCGCTTCTGCAGCGGCCTGGTGGGGGGAAGCTGAGATAAGGTGGTGGGGCTGTGGCCCGGCCCCCAGAGACCTGAGGATGATTGGGGAGGGGTTTAAACCCCCACCCTGGCCTGCAGGGACCCCAGCCAGGAAGTGTATGGAGGGGGAGCAGGGAGGCAGCTTTTGAGGTGTGGGGGGGCAGGAGCATGGCCAGACCCCAGCCACTGGCCAGACACCGCCCTGGCATGGCCACTTAAGGTGAGGGGGGAAGGAAGGGGGTTTATTCCCCACTCCCTCCCCTCTCCCCACTTGGATCCCAGCCAGGGTCTACCTGGCTGAGGTGGAGAAGCCACTATCAGGCGTTTCCTACCCCCTCACCTGCCATGGCCAGTCAAGTGGCAGGGACGGAGGCATGGCCAGCCCCATCAGCAGCCTGAAGCGAAAGAGGGGAGGAAGGAGAATTTAATCCCCCCTCCCTCCCAGGGTACAAACCCCAGCTGGGGTCTGCCTGGCCAGGGTGCTGCAGCCCCTCTCAAGGCCTCCCCCTGCCTTCCAGTGCTCCAGCAGCAGGGGCGGGGTCCTGGCCAGATGCTGGCTGCCATGGTGAAGGGGGCAGGGAGGGGGTTTATTCCCCCCTCCATCCCCTCTCCCACTGAGGGACTGCAGCCAGGGTCTGTCACCCCAACCGCTGCCTCCCCTGCTCACCAGTGGCCGGGCAGACCCCAGCTGGGGGTCCCCAGAGGGAGAGGGGAGGGAGCAGGAAATAAACCCCCTCCCTGCATCCTTCACCTTAGAGGGCCATGCTGGCTGGTGTCTGGCCGTGCCCCTGCCCCTGGACTGGTGAGGGGAGAGGGACCCTGATGGGGCAGCAGCCCCTGGCATGGTGTCCCAGGGAGTGCAAGCCTCTTACCAGTGCGAGGGGCCGCACTGCGGGCGAGATTGGGGTAGGCAGAGCTGCCACCGCCTGTGCAGGGCGAGCAGTCATGTTAGGGCTTGGAGGGGTGGCTGCAGGGGGACTAAACTGAATTTTGGGGTGGCCATAGCCCTCCAGGCTCCCTTAGGGCAGCTGTCACTCACTTTGTGCAGGCTGCAGCAGCTCTGCACACCGTGCTCCCACCCACAGCATAGCCCCAGGGTCCCTCCCCACTCGCTGGTCCAGCGGCAGGGGTGGGGGCATGGCCAGACACCAGCTGGCCTGGCTGTCTAAGGCAAAGGGGGCAGGGAGGGGTTTATTCCTCCCGTTTCCCCTGGGGAACCCTAGCTGGGTTCTGCCTGGCTGGGGGCGAGTGGTGGAAGTGACGGCCAGGTGGGGCTGGCACACTCCAGCTGTGGTCCCTCAGTGGGAGAGGGGACGGAGGGTGGAATAAACCCTCTCCCTGCCCCCTTCACCACACTGGCCAGCATCTGGCCATGGCCCAGCCCTTGCTGCTGGAGTACTGGAAGGGGAGGTGGGGGGCCTTGAGAGGGGCTGAAGTACCCTGGCCGGGCAGACCCCAGCTGGGGTCCGTGCTGCGATAAGGGGGTGGGAGGGAGGGCATTAAATCCTCTTCCCTCCCCTTGTTTGC